CCAATAAGGGCCCCAACTAAACCTGCCTCTTCGTGCCGTGACCGACCGACTGACCACGGCGCAGAGCCTTCGCCGACGCGTTCCCCGAAGCCGAAGTCACGGGCACCGACCTCTCCCCAACCCAGCCGACATGGCTGCCCTCCAACCTCTCGTTCGAGATTGACGACTGCACGCGCCCCTGGACCTGGGAGGCCAACACGTTCGACCTAGTACACATGCGCCTCCTCTTCGGCGCCATAACCGACTGGCCCGCCCTGTTTCGCGAGGCGTACCGTACGGCGCGGCCCGGTGGCTGGTGTCAGTCGTGCGAGGCGGAGTGCCTGATTCGCTCTGACGATGACAGTATCACGCCCGACACGGCCATGGTCTCTTCGTGGTCGCGTCTGTTTGTCGAAGGGGCCGAGAAGTTCGGGCGTTCATTCACCGTCCTGTCGGATGAACTGCAGCGGAAAGGGATGCAAGAGGCGGGATTCGTGGATCTGCACGAAGTGAACTTCAAGGTACCTATTGGGGACTGGCCGTTGGATCCCAAGCTTGCCGAGGTCGGGCAGTGGGTTCGCTTGACCATGGAGAATGATCTTGAAGGTACGTACCCGGCATGGCTGTGATGGGAAGAGCTGTAGTTGACGCGCTTAGGCTATACGCTTTACATGTGGAAGGATGTCCTCGGGTGGGATACGGACGAATACCGGACATTCTTGACGTCGATGAAGGACGAGATGAGATCACGAAAACTACATGGGTATATGACAGTGAGGTACATCTACGGGCGCAAGCCTTAGAACGGTCTCGAAAAAATAGGCTCAGGGAAAGAAAGACAAGGAGGCAGATGGAGCCTATCGAGGACTTGTCTATGTTCTATGTTTCTTTAAACAGGTAAGAGATTCCATAGATGGCAATGACACCATTACAGCGGAACTTTTCTAGTGGCACTGAAATGGTCATCCCACCTATGCTGTCTTTCAATACTCGAGGCGATGTTCGTCGAAACCAGTAGCAAATGCCGCGAAACACTGCTTACTCTGTGATGGAAAACGTCCGTGTCGACTGGGAACGGCTGGTATCAGCAACGGTTCATTGAGAACGCTAGTCGACAAGAGCCAGCGACAATAGGAGCTGTCAAACATGACTCGTCTGCTCTACGAGTCTCGTTGCTTGGTTGGTGACTCTTCAACCGAATTGTGTACCTCGCATACGGGACATGTCAGTACCAAAGTCAAGGACCGTGGCGGCAAGCACCATGGTCGTGCTCCCCGAGTCGCTTTCAATCAATATATGGCACGAGTCGATACTCGACCGCGCTGACAAAACACAAGATTCGAGGTACAGGTCAATTCTTGTTCCAAAAGAGTATGTATGTGTTCATAGGCTACATGGCCCAACGCTGTTCGTGAAATCATCATGATTTTATCCCTCCCTTTCTGTTTTCTTCTTACATCAGCAGGAAAGCAGTCATAACGGCCACGGCCGCAACACCCAGTGACCCAACAGCCAGACCCGTCGCGGCGCTGTCGTCATTGTTGCCGCTGCCGCCATTACTTGAGTCGGTAGAGCCCGTCTCGGTGGGCTGGACGAGAGTACCAGATTCGGTGGATGACGGTGTACCAGACTGGCGCTCAAGGATGAAGATCTCGCCTGTCGAGTCAGAGGTGACGTAAAGGCGACCCTGGGTCCCCCAGGCGAGACCGACGGGGCGGAAGCAGTTCTCGGGACAGGTGGAGAGGTCGGTCATGCGGACGATGTGCGTCAGGCTGTCAGCGGAGGTGTGAGGCTCAGTGGGCTCGCCGTTAGCGAAGTCGACCACCGAAAGCGAATAACCCTGGGGGTTTTCGCGGTTGACTGGGGCTTGTAAGCATTCATTCACGGGAGAAGTGGCGGAGAGAGAAACATACAGCTGCCGTGGAAGGAGATCCAAGCCTCGGTACCGTTTTCATTGAAGATGATGTCGAGAGGGGCAGTGTGGGCGGGGAAAGCCAGACGAGGAGCCTGGTATTCTTCACGGCAGGTAGTGTCGTCAAGAGTTGTATTTGTGTCAATGGCGAACTGATCGCCGACCTCGAGATTGTCGTGGTCGGGAATGTCATCGGCGTCCCAGACAGCGTAACACTGAGGGTAGCCGTAGTTGGTGGCATTGGCTTCATTCTCGGGGGCATCCTCAATAGTGCCGTGCTCGTTGAGCTCCTCGGCAGGGTTGTCTTCCTTGATCAACTGCCCGTTACGTTCAACATCGTCGACCGAGTTCTCCACAGAGTAGAACCTGCCAGATGTGGGCTCCTCAGCAACACCGACTGAGTTGCGCAGACCCCAGCCGAGGACACGGCCCTCAAGATAGTCAATGGGGAACGAATCGGTGTTGTTGATGTTGAAGGCGCGAATCTGAGACATGCCCGAGTCGATGTTCATAGCTTCAGTAGCCAGATTGTCGCCGCTGCCGCGAGAGACGACGAGGTATCCAGGGCTGTGGCGCGAGACGACGAGTGTACGGGTGACATGCTGGTTGCTGGCCATGCCAGTGATCACCTCTGTTCCATTACCGCTGACGGCGCCGGTGGAGGGGTCGTAAGGCCAAGCGAAGACGGAATCGACTGTGGAGGCATACAGGGTCCATCCGTCGACGGAGAAGGCCATACCGTGGTTGAGCTGTGCGTGAACCATTAATTTGGCTGAAAACCATTGGCAAAGGATGTGAGACAATCGCAACTTACCCCTTCGAGCTCAATAATGACCTTGTTCTGGTCGACCTCGAGACAGGTGTGGCCGTGGTCCGTGAAGGTGATGTGACGAACACCAACGCCAGCGTCCAGGACGATGAGAGCGCCAGCGTTGTCGACGGCAATGGTGCGCGGCTTGACGAGGCCATTCATAATAAGCTGAGCTTGCCATCCGGGGTGGACAGCAGGTGCATTGTACTGGGTGGAGAGGATATTCTGACACTCGCTTTGAGCGAGAGCAGTGGCAGACAGAACCACAGCCGCCGTGGCAGCAGTGCGGAGGCCCTTCATGCTGGCGATTGGCGCACGACAGTGTTGTCTTGGGGTCCTTTTGTTTCTGTCGACGGGCAAGATGCTGACCTTCAGGGACTTGGTGAAAGAAGAGGAAATGCTGTTCGATCGGGATCGCGCGTGCAACGAAATGCAGAGAGGGCCCGGATTCTCTCAGCCAGTTCCGCAATGCAGACGAAGGATGGAAGGATACCAAGGTCGACCCCACCAGGAGACCCCTCCTTCTGATCGCCCCTCACTTATCATTTTGCTCCTCGCGTAGGCTTCGTTCGGCCAACCTCGTGGTAGTGCCTGTGGCATCAGGCCCTCACGCGGGGCCGCCAAGTGTCGCCTAGGCCCGACCGGAGCAAGTCGAATGCAGGCGGACGAGCCAGTCGATCACGTTGGCGAGGATTCGGCGCACCTGGCAGCGCCTGCACCAATGCGCCTGGCGTCGGCAAGCCTACCCTGGCCGCCCTTTGGTGTGTCCGCTCTAGCAGTCGGACGGATCAGACGAGAGAAGCTCAGTAGCTGCTGAATACGGAAGGACGAGGTTGGGCCCCACGCGATAGCTTCGCCTGAACTCCGCCTGGTGTGCCACTTGGTCCAGCGCGGCGGTACATTTATTCAAGTTCCGTCGGGAGAATCAGGGCTGGCCTGAATTGGCACTGTCATCGATCATACTCCTGGAGTCGTTCAGGCCCTACGCCAATGTTGCTTGTTTGATAGGAGGCTGCAATTGCCCCGGTGATGACGGGTGCGTGACCTCTATCAGAGGATCGATCGCGTGGCGAATTCACGCACTCGCTGATGATCGGCGGTGTCGATGTGCTTGCGAATTGCTTTCCTCAAATCGAACGACTCGGTAATCGATGTGGACTGATGGAGGAGCGATTCGATTCGATCCTTCCTTTGGGGCTCCGAATACTGGTAGACTAAACCGCATTCCATCTGTTTGAAGCAGCTAATGACATAGGCTATCTGGCTGGAGTGGCCTGCAAACGACAACAGGACCTATCTCGAAGAAGGCAAGCTTGCCATGCGTGTGAGAGGAGGAGGAATTCGGCAAGCGACACAGAAGCGTGGGATGTTGGGATTCCACAAGGTCTTGTCATGTCAAGCTTGTGGAAAGAGGATGCGGGAGATGCCCAGGCTCCTGGGGCGGGGTAGGGACGCTTCCACTGCCATTGGCTCTGGAGCGTACGCCTTCAGGTACCTGGGCCACCTAAGGCACCCAGAAGACATGCAGCCAGAAATTTGGCAGCGGCCATCTTTGCTGCTTCACACTGTGAAATTATCCATCAACCCACCGGCAATTCCATCGTCTTGGAGCGGTCAAACCCTGGACCAGGGTTCCGATAGCATCCATCAGGAACACGCTGAATCTTGCCGTGACGTCCGAAACCCACCGCCAGAAAGTTGCAAACTACTGCAATATTTTAGCATCACGTCTCTCCGCCGTGGCCATCGCTGATAGTCCGCTTCTCGATGAGTGTCAGCTTCTTGGTCCACCAAGCCCACCAAGCCCCGTCAAGCCGTCAATTGTCTTGAGAGGCAAGGTACGGCTTCTCACAGCCGGCGATGGTTGAAGAGCTCGGGTCTGCCATTGGACGAAAGAAAAAACCGCAGACAGGACCGATGAGACCGATGAGACCGATGAGACCGATGAGACCCTTTTAGGAGCCTGGGCGAAAACTACCAGTAGAGACACAGCACCAGAGACTTTGCCGTCCCAGCCATCCATATACGTTTGCGCTAGGCTTGTTGTTCGTGGATCGATTGCTTGGCGAACGCGAGCCCCGCCATCCATTACCCCTCCCCCTCCATCAGCGCACGATTTTGACGGAGGAGAGCTCTTGGCACACACGTTGATCAGCACCGCCCCCGAGACACCTGACGCCTCTGCCTCGCGCCGATGTGCAATTCGAGGTCAGTCTGCTCGGCTTCATCGTCTCCTTTCGCAGAACCTTCCAAGCAGTCCATACCAGCACTGCAAGCTTCGCTTCGAGACCACGCACCATGGTCGCCCTGACATCCCGACTGGCGCTGGCTCTCCTCGCCGCCTCCCCTCTCTCTGCTTCTGTGCTGCGCCCACGAGCCGGCGCCAACAGGCAATGGGTCTCAGTCGACTCTGATGGCAACGCGCGCACCTACATCCCGACCTCGACACAGGTCAATGGCGTTGCGACGACACTATCAGCCGCCCCCTACATCTTGACCGGCTCCGTCTTCACCGTCACGGCTACAAATGGCGACGTGAGCACAAGCACAGGCGCCCCGCCTCCACCACGAGCCACTGACTCTGATGGTGGTCGCGGCGTCTTCAATGTCTGCATGGACAATGCCAACAGCCAGATTGCCCCCTTCTGCCAGCCGCGCGCCCGCTCCGAGCTCTACGTCAAGGAACCGTACTACAGTATGTTGCATCTTTGTTCACACAATCCCTCGCCGCGTGCTGACCCGTCAACAGTCACCTGGGACAGTAGCGGCTTCGGCGCAGACCTCAATACAGTCGCCAACATTGTCGGCCTCGCCGTGACCCGCCAGAGCGGCACCCCGACCAATGCCGAACCCAACTTTATCATCAACGACACGACCATCGTCCTCGGCAGGGGATACTACGCCTGGACTCCCTCCGAAGCTGACCTCAAGGGTAGCACCGACTTCCACAATGTCTCGCTCATGCTGCAGTTTGTTTCTTCGGAATCAAACGAGCTGACCAATGTCACGGGGCCAACGATTACCCTCCTTCCTGCGCGCGCCAACATACCCGAGGAGCATTCGGATGATGACGATGACGAAGACGACGACGACGACGACGACGATGATGATGATGATAAGAACGGTGGTCCGAATGTGCTGGCGATTGCCCTCCCCATTGTTTTCGTGGTTCTCGCCATTGCTGGTCTCGCTGCTTTCTGTCTATTCCGTCGCAAGAGGAGGGGCGCTGCTGCTGGTGCTAGCATCAACAGAACGAGCAGCGGCTTTGGCGCCCAAGCAGCTCACGACCAGCATCTCGGCAGAAAGGACAACAACGACATCCAACTCGAGGACAGGAGTGATACCGTTTCGCCCATTTCGCCTGCGAGCACATCTGGCCGCAATGTCTTCCAGGAGGAGGTCGCCAGGCAGGAGAGGGAAAGGGTGTAATCTAGGGAATTTGCATGGAACATGTCACCGACGACCTTTGTCTGAAATTTTTCGGGGAACCATCCTAGAGCGATACCTGAAGTTACGCTCTTCGCGTGTATCAGCGAACAATGAATATCACGATGCTTATGACTTGTTGGTTTTCATCACCGTGCTACCTGGGAACTGTTCTTCCCTTGTGTTATGCTAGAATGATCTCGTATAAGGGTACCATGACGATGACGCCCTGACTGTCTGTCGGACGTTAGGTCAAACACCCAGGGGGATCTCGACCCGGCATGCTCTTGTCAACAGAGTCGACCAGAAGAAACGCTTCGCTCTGGGGCCTATTACTACTTGTTCATCGGCTTGCACCAGAAGCTGCAAAACGACATTCGCTCCTGCCAAAATTAGCCAAAGTTCCCTCGCCGAGGCTTCGGAATCATAAACTCACCCAGGTTCCAGATTCAATCTTGCCATCCTTCTCAGGTCGCTTCCAGCTGCCGCCGCGGCACTTGGGAAGGTAGCCCGAACCTCGAGGTGTCGCGTCCCCCTTGTACTCGTACAGGTGATCGCCAAACCGCACATTCGGATGCCACGTATCGTAGTCCGGTCGCTTATCAGAGTTGGTCCTCCAAGAGTCATCCGGTTTGTATATGAGAGTGACATCCTCCTCGAAATCTTGGCTGCCAATAGGGATTCCCTCGTCATGCTGCCCATCTAACTCGTAGCGCATCAGTCTGATCTCGCCGTCGCCGTCATTGCCCGCACCCTTGGTCCGCCATGGCCGCACGACGACGTTTAGATAGTTCTTGCCCTCATCGTCAGTCGGGTTCGCAATGGTTCGAATCTCGAGGTTGCACCGCGCCGAGTCCGGATAGTCCTAATCATCCGCCCACGGCGCGTCCCATTCGCGGTCCAATGACTTGACCACCTGCCACTCCCACATGCCGCGGAACCGCTTCCGCTTGACCCATTTGCCCTCGTCGTTGTTGCCCCAATACGTCTTGTACCGCCACGTGAAGAAGCGGTCGTACAGGTTGTATCGGAACGCAGGCGACCCGTCATCGTTGTCCTCGCCCGTGGCGTACAGCCTGTACGACTCGATTTCCTCTTCATCGACGCCACAGAGGGAAGCGAGGTCCGTTTTGAACTGCGTCATGGCCTTGAGGTTCTTCCTGACTGGTTCGTCGTCGACCCAGTAATTTGCGCGTGGCGAGAAGACAACGATCGAACGCCAGAGCACCGACGCCTTGTCGAGGATCATGCCGGGCTTGAAGAGGTCGACGATCGGGGGTGATGCCGGGGGCGGGTCCTGGCGGCCACCTTTCTGTACAAGGGGTGAAACGGGGTACGCCATGCCGTATTTCAAAAAGTCAATGACATTAGTCTGGTACCCTGCAGCCTGGCGCTCGGGATCATGATTGCCGGTCTCGGGATTCATGGCGACAAAGGTCGGCACCTCCCAGAAGTGAGCGAGAACGAGGCCGAGGTTGCTCGCGAAGACGACAATAGTGCAGCAGGTCACAGGCTGCGTGCCGCCGGCCTGGGGGTCGTTGAGCCTCCAGGGGCTGTCGCCCTGGTCGTCTTCGTCTAAAGGGTAGACCTCGGCGTTGCTGTCGGCGTGAACAATGCGCCTGCCGTTCGGACCGGGTTCGATCCAGTGATAGTACCACAGGCCACGAGTTTGCTGGATGGCGTTCATCTTCTCCCACCAGTCTTTTTCTCCCCCGGGCCAAGTCAGCGGATCAGTGAATTCGCGGGTTTTGTCCTTTGGGATAATGTCGTCGGCGCCGCGCACATGGAGGTACGATCGATCATGTGTCTGACAGCCTGCTTCAGAAGCGCTGCAAACCGAAGTGGCTGGGTCTTCGAAAACAGAGTCTTGATGAACAGTGCCACTTCCGTCGAGGTATCGCTTCGTGGAGGAAGCGGTTGACCAGTCGCAGTCCTCACAGAGATCACCGCAACCAACTGGGCAACAGTATGGACCATTGGCCTCCATTTTATCTGTGGGGGTTACTATGTTAATGATTCTCAATCTTTTCTGGACGGAAAATAAATGGGAGTCAACGTGAAGTGGCAATATCGTCTCTTTTGACAGTAGATGTCGGAGTGGCTCTCCTCGAGACGTGTCTGTTATGGGGGAGCATGGAATTGCTACAGCGGAGGAAAGTACTGACTCTGCTTTTTGGCCTTGCTCTTGCAAAAGGCATGTCCAACGAACAGCAAGAACAAAACAATGATTCCCCATCGTGGGCCTTTGAGATGTATACGTCGGGGATCCATTGAGAGATGGTGCTTCACATACGCATTAGAAGCCAGCGCTTGGGAGCTATGACGATTAAAACTAAGTTCTGATAGCTTTGGGAGCCGACGATAAATCTGATTCGAGTTTTATTGAAAGTCGTAAATTACATAGTGTCTCGATGGTCCGGTGAATGGCCTCACGCATAATGGAAGGAGCTGGCCTAGGCTGTGGGGATAGGTTCGTGAATGGAAATTGACACATTCACTTGCGAAAAAAAGCTCCAGGCATCTTATACACGCCTACCTGCAGGCCTTGAGCTCAGGTTTTGATCATTGTTTCGATGGAGTGCCCTACTCTTACTACCTAAATAAGCATATATATTCGAACTAACCACCGCAACAAGATTTCATAGTCGAACCCTTGTGGAGCTCTCAAAGCCTCAACAATTGCAGCAATGGCAATCAACTTTTCGCTCAGATATCGAGGACTGGCAAAGCTGTCTTGCACAAGAACTCACGGCAAGGAACAGCAACGTCGTTATGACTTCTCGTACCAAGCCATGTTGCTCACCCTGCTGCAACTTACACATATCAACATTGAACAAGCTCAGGCGTTTATGTTCTTGCGGTAGTCCTTATAAGCTTCGTTCGAGAATGGTCAAATACAATCTGAAGAATCTTGTGAATTAACAGGTCGTGCTCGTACTCGATACAACCCAGTGGCCGATAACCAGCCCTGGTCATCACAATCAAGCCAGCATTAACACACTTAAGCTTTAAGTGTTTTGTTTCTAATGGGCTTACCAGACTGACCCTTTATGGCTGGGTGCTGCGCTCGGGATCCGGCATAAAATCTGAAGCCTCGTCATCAGTACGACGAATTCAAGCATTGAATGTTTTCCCATCACTTAGCCTTGCAGAATCAAAGCCATTCAGCCCCAGTGGCGCATGGCGTTCTTTAGACCCTCAATTGAACGACCGATGCGCGGATGAAATTGAACGACACAGATTCTGCCGGCAGTCAACACACCCTCTACAATGATCTTCTCAACCTCTTCTGACGGGCTCCGGATGCGCATCAACATGATGTGCCATTGCCATTTCCTTTTTGAATTCGGTTTCTTGCACACCAACTCGTTACATATCATTATCAATAGTCAGATCAGCGCCGCAAAACATTTGTCTCTAGTCGGAACCAATTTCTATCATCTCTTCTTGCCGTGTGGCCTCGCAACATGCGTCAAGTGATGCAGCTGTATAAAGGCCTCGGACGTTTGTCTGATCACCCTTCAAGTACCATGTATGACTTCTAGGACCCCCCATTTAAGCCCTACCTTTCAGATAATTACGTCATGTAGCCAACGACAGTATGGCAAGGGACCCTGATCCTCCACAAACGGCTGCCCCATTTGCATGGCCTCTCCACGATATGTGAAATGCGCTGATGGGATCGATGTCCGAAACGTGGGTCTTGTTCAAGGCGAGCAGGCTCCGCTGGCGGGCCTTTCTGCGCGACTGACTCGAAGCCATCGTGGCCTGCGTCTGTCTGGCGGAGCCATGCCGTCATTGCCGAATCAGGCTTGGAGCTTTCTTGGTAAACGTATGTTGATTGTCTTGGAGTCTACAAAGCGAGATCAATGTGCTCTCATCTCCGAGGCGGCCGTTGGAAGACTTCGCATGCGGCCATGTGTTGCTGATAGCGTCTCTGTCGGCCTTGGCTTGCAGTAGTTCAGAAGAGAATCATTGAAAGGGGTGTGGCATGTCCGTTCCACAATACATAGACACCATTCACTGGAGTACATCTAAGGATGCGATGTACCAATGCAAGGGATCACGAATTCAGGATCAGACACGGTTCACCAGAGAGCTTCCAGCGATAACTTACATCACCGTCGTTTAGTTACAATCACCACGCATAACAGCTCAGTCTTGGGACCAAGACGCAGTACGCCAGGATGAAAGGTTTACGGTTAGAGACCAGAAGCACCGCCATTGAAAGAAAGTGCAGGCCCCATTTACTCTGCCTAGAGCTCTTTGACCCTAGAGTTTGAGGCTTTGGGCGACGTTTAATCCAGGTAGGACTGACAGTGGAACGATCCATGCAGAATGGCGTGCCCATGGAATGCAAAAATGTCTTGTGTCAGCGTTTACACATTGGAAAGCTGATAGACGCAGCTGTCAGTGGGTAAAACATTTGCCAAGTAGCATGACTTGTGGTTGAGGCAAGCGTCGTCATCACCACTTAGAGTTGGCTTCCAGATTCGGGTGGTTAGAGACGCAACAGAGCTTTTCATCATTTGTCGGTTTGAACAATGACGTAGAGACGGATCGCACATCCGACATGGAGACTCTCGAGCTCCATCTGTATCCGCTGTCATGAAGTTTCTTACCGTGAGGCTTTACCACGCGACACATACCCGCAATAAATGGGCAATTGACAACCCTCCTCGTCGATGGCACCCCGTCATGTTATGTAAACCCCACAGCAGTAGCCTGCGGGATTTCCAGTGGCGCAAATGAGGCCGCCAATCCCAATTGTGTCGAGGTCCGCAACGCCAACAAATGTTCGAGTCAAGTACCAGGACCCGCCAAGGTATGGCCCTTGTCGGTGAGATGAGTGGACGGAAAGGGGGAAACAGTAGGAAGCATTGGAGACCCGAAAGAGAAACCCCGAGCCGCATGATTACTGGGTTTCGAGCCAGCCAACACGAGGTTGCAGCTTTGTACAATCCAATGGCCAGCCGCACCAACGTCCGCTACAGTCCCGTTGC